CCCATGGCAGGGGGATGTGCACCTGCAGGATAGCCAGCGTCTAGCATGCGATTTCCGGGGCGGGGGCTACTGCTTTCTGCTGCACATGGATTAATGCCCCCCAACCTTTATAATTTAAAAATTGGAAATATTTCCATTTGGAGAAAAAAATAGCCCCTTTTACCAGATGAATTACATAAAAAGATGTGACACTATGGAAAATTTGGTCTCCTGAGCTGTCTGTTCCTGGCGTGTACTGTAACGACTCGCGTTTGTTCTTCCAGTCAAATGGGTCGGTGTCGGCAAGTCAAGAGAGTCGATGATCCAGCTGTTTTAGCACAGCGGGAGCTGGTCCCTACAGGCTGCAGCAGCGGCCGTCCCTGCGTCAGCGGCAGCAGTCACGTCCCCCAGCCATCATCACAACCAACACCGTAAAGAAAGAAACATGAAAACAACTTTCAGTACTTTTATATGTCTAAGCCTTCAGCTGAACCCACTGATTTCTACAATGACTTTAAACTTCTGGAGCCAGCATTGTGACCATTTTTTAAAATTTTGCGACTTAAAATGAGCCAGAGTGCTCAAAACAGAGCCCTGCTATGACACGCTAATTGTCTCACGGTTGTGTGTACAGTTGGAGCCATGTTGTAGTAAACACATCCAACCCCGCCGAGCGGCAGTGGCCATGAGACCTGTGCTCTGACTTTGTCCTTGTTGCTTTAAACACGCAAAGGTGACGGTTCCCGAGAGTCTGCATGACGCAGCTTCCTAAGAGCCGCCTGCATTTTGGGTATCACGCAGCCAAGCCACGTGTTTGCTCAGAAAACAAAATGGACCGAGCTCATGCAAGAAAGACCAAGTGCATTCAATATGCTTTTCAGAATGAAACATGTAAACAAATCACTGTGTAGACCTGTTACCAGGTAGGATGTGCCAGGGCTGATTCAGGGTGGACTGTCCTTCCTGCCCTGGTGACAGAACCCACTGGCATCCCCCCTCATTAAAGTTGGAAACACTTTGTCATCATCCCTGTGAATTTCATTTGATTGAATAAACTACTTCTTAACTGACCAAAGCTGCACTGAGCCTACTGTGCTCGCCTGGACGCTGAGTAGCCTCCCTAAATCACATGTCGGCATTTGGGTCAAACTGTGAAAAATGACCGCCCTTTCAGTGCCCTTTCAGAGAGACCCCAAGTCTGCCGGGGTGAGAGCCAGACGTTCTGGCACTGAGCATGTCAGCTATGCTCACGCTGCTGAAGCGCCAACTGGGCTTGCTTTTGGGGGGATACCCCAGCCTGGGCTGGCTGCTCACACCCTGGGAAGCTAACTCCGGTGACAGGGTGGGCGGGCTGAATTCTGAAATGCCTGTGACTCTAGGCATGTTAGCAAACTTCACACAGTGCCCAGCATGGCCTGTGATGTGAAAAACAGGAAGCACTTTATGCAACTGCTTGTTATCCCCCTCGTCCCAGGCCACGTGGGGACGCTTCCTTCTTGGGCCTTCTCAGTAGTGCATCTGCTTTGGGGTGGAAGTGGTGGCACAAGCAGAGACCATTGTTTGAGTTTTCCAAGAATCGTTTCTTCCATAATACAGCAAAAGGGATGGAAGGAGAGAGCCCTGGGGCAGGGGTGAGCTCTCGCTGGTGTGACTCCGTCCCCAGGCCAACACCATCCTCCTGGGGACAGGGATGGTGGTGTCACTTTCTGAGGTGACTGTCTTGTAGCACCTTGCTAGACAACAGAGAGATGCACACTTCAGCCAGAGTAGACATTTTTCAAAAGAAAAAGAAAATCTTTTCCTTCTATGTAAAAAGCTGCAAACCAGGTGCAAGTTTAACCTGCCACTTAAATTAGACAGCTGCAGAAAAGTTTCCACATCCATAGTTTGTAGGAGCCACTAAACCCTCCACATGAACACAAGGTGTTATTCTTCCATCTCTGGATAACATCTTGAGGAGGCAGGCGCTATCATGTGCCTGTAGAGGTTTCCCAGGGTGAAGGGACACCAGCTCAGAGGGGAAATGGTTCTTTCTGGTGTTGACTCTCTCACCTTCATGTGGGCAGGAGGCGCTGTCATCCCAGCAATGGGTCAGTACAGACAGCGGGTGAATAATCTGGGTCCCTACCCCTTTTGTCAGTACCAGATGTTTGAGGTTCTGAGTGGATATAACAAACCCCACTTTGCATGGATAACACAGCCCCAGCGTTGATGAGGCTGTAGTCATCTCTGTCCAGTACCTGGGTGAGACAAATTGGTGATTTATCCCTGCAGTGAATTCGTATAATGTTATGTTGCCCCGGCACCTATTTTGAATATAAACTGGACGTTCCTGTACCAGAGCAGGGCTCCATCTCCCCTGACACAGTTCCCTGTTCTCTACCTCCTCCCAGTTCTTCATACACCCGCCTGCTGGTGACCACCTCCCTCTGGGACAGCCCGATACAACCTACGTGAGTCTCCCCACTGGCCCGCACACCCCACACGGACCCAGCAGATATGCCAGTGACCTTCCTAGGTCACAGCATACCTGCATGGAGCTCATGCCCATCTGCTCTAAACCCACCAACCGGAGCTCCCCGCAGGAAACCTGCCGGGGTAACACCCTAGTCCCCCATAAGGGCTCCGGCCACAGGTCCTTCTCTTTCCCCTCCTCTGGCTCCCCGCCCACTGGTTGAGCGTGCACGTCCCTGATGCTTCCCCTTCCCGCTGGATGCAAGTACATACAATTTCACCATAAATAAGTTACACCCAATTTAAAAGTTACTAAAAGTAATATGACATTACTAATCTGTGGAACAGCTAAGATGATATTTACTTAAAATTGTAGGCCCCTGAGGTGACTTGGATTAAACATTCTAGTGAATCTATTTCCCGCCAGTCCCACCGGTGCATTTGGTGGGGGGGCAGTCTTGTCACACGTCTCCTAAGAAAACAGAGAGTGCATTCCTTCCTCCACCCACGGAATGTCCACTTTCAGAACGTCCGTGTTTTGGAGGTCAAAATGTGCCCCTCGGCAAATGCTTTGCATGAGCTCGGTTCCCAGCCAGACCATTTTCCCCAAAGCATCTCCCACCCCAGGCAGGGAGGTCTTCTAGGTCTGTGTGTTTCCACAGCCCCCGTGATTCCCCTTTTAGGACACTTGTCCTGCCAGAGGGCAGTGACCCTGTGGTCTTGACTCAAAACCACCCCCAAGCACCTAACAGACCTCGGCACTTGTTATAAGCTGAATTGTGCACTCCCACCCCAATTCATACGTTGAAGTCCTAACTCCCAGTGCCTCAGAATGTGACAGTATTTGGAGATAGGGCCTTTCAAGAGGTGATTAAGTTATAATGAGGTCATATAGGTGGATCCTAATGCAAATGACTGGTGTCCTTACAAGAGGAGATTAGGACACAGACACGCACAGAGGGATGACCATCTGAAGACACAGGAAGAAGACGGCCGTCTACAAGCCAGGGAGAAAAGGCTCAGCAGAAACCAACCCACCAGTACCTTGATCCCAGACTTCTGGCCTCCAGAACCATGAGAGAATAAATGTGTGTTTAAGCCACCTGGTCTGTGGTGCTTTGTGACAGCAGCCCGAGCAGATTCGTGCAACATTAACGGGCCCTCAATAAGTATTTCTTAAAGTATGATCAGACTGAAATACTAGAGTCGAGAAGACCTCTTTATATCACAGTGTTTTGCACCTACTGTGTCTTACAAGATTCTCAGGCAGTTTCAAATCTGAACACAAAAAAACTGCTAAAAATTCCAAAGATCTGTTAAGATTAAAAGCAATGCTCTCTGGGAATTTCATCTACTTCTGGGACAAAACAAACCGAGTGTGTGCTTAGTCACAAGTGACTCTAGAACTGGGTGATTTTCAGTCATTTTCCTGAATTAGTACAGAGACACGATTATGCCATCGAGGTGGCAACGAACTTCGTAGAACGCCGTCCCCACAGAGGCAGGTCTTCCGAGGACACAAAGGAGAGCCTGCAGGAGGCAGAGCACAGGAGGACACGTTTAAGCCAGACGGCCGGCCAGGCTTCAGCGCCGCACGTACAAAGGAGCGTCACTGCCTTTGAGGAAGTTTCGTCAGCTGTGAAGTGATGTCCTGTGTGAGGTGGTTTGTACGGCCTCCATGAGTCAGCTCTTGACACCAGCAATACAGGTTATAAAGGGGCAGGTTATTAAAGGACACCAGGAGGAAGAAAAAACGTCCACAGCGAAGAGCACACTGCAGGACAAGGGACACTGTTTCTGCACCAATCAGTGCGGGAGGGAAAGGAGGGGCCTCTGGTAGAGGGACCCCAGAGAAGTGACAGCGTGGGGACCAGTCGGTGCAGGAGGGAAAGGAGGGGCCTCGCCCTTGGTATGTCCTGCGCCGCGCCTCACACCAGTCCCATCCCCGCTTCACGGTCCCGACCCTCGGCATGGTCCCAGGCCTTTCCCGACAGTGCGCTACTCCCGCCTCTGTCGTGGCCTCCCCCAATCCTGCGCGGGCTCCGCCCCGATGTCACTCCCGGCCTATCCTGCGCCGCGCCTCACGCGAGCCCCGCCCCCGGCTCGCCCGTCCCCACCCTCCCCCTGCCTTTCCCGCGCCGCCGAGTCCTGCCTCCGACCTGGCCCCCAGCCTATCCCACGCCGCGCCGCGCCGAAGTCCCGCCCCCTATCTCTCC